CTCACTACTTCATTCAGGAGGGGTATTCTAAACCGTCGTTCAAGCCTATGACTGCCGAGGAAGAGGAACGAGGCATGCGGGAAGTTCGAAGAATTGCGGTATTGCGGGAGATTCTTGGAACACACCAAAGATGCTAATGTAATGACTCTCAGGTCCCTCCCCACCGGATGACCCCTCTTCGTAACAGCTGGCTGAAGCTTTTAGAACCTCTAGTTCAGCACATGAAGCTCCAGGTTAGAATGAACACTAAGCGCCGTTGTGTCGAGATGAGACGTAGTAGAGGCTCTGGTCCGACGACTTCTATTAGAGTGTCTTCACAGGTGGTCCTGGTGCCGAAGTGAACTCCCTTCAAAAGGGTGCTGACTTCATCAAGGCCTTCATGCTCGGCTTCGACATCCAAGACGCCATTGCTTTACTAAGGTAGATCTCCCGTCGGCTATTGTGGGAGGAGATTTTCATTCGTAAGGTTGGACGATCTCTTCCTTGAATCCTTTGAAGTGAAGGATGTGAAGCGCCTCACTGGTGACCATCTCTCCCGATGCATCGGACGTACTATATACTACCCTCGGCTTCATTCGACACTGCCTCACCAGGTATTGCTGGTAAGGATGGTAAGACGAAATACGCCATCGAGAACTCTACTCGGACTCGGATTGTAAGCCCGGGGGGTTGACTGCCGCTGTTCGGCTCATTGCACTTTAACAGGTGCTAGCTGAGGACAAGATCCACTTGCTTGGTTCCTTCACCAACATCCGTTTAGCTAGGGACGCCATATGCAGTCTGATCCTCGGAAGCCCTCCCAGCAAAGTGTACTAATTACCTTGGTTCTACTGAGCTTCCTTACGACTCGTAACATCAGATACCAAAGACTGCGCACTGTCAGTAAACGCGTTCAGGAGCGTCTGTAGATATAGTCGTCGCTCTCTCTCCGCAGCTCTACCATTATCATCACGATAACTGCTACAACGTTTCTCCCAATATCATTGGATGCTACTTGTCGTTGTAGGGTAGCCGCTTGCTAGCCCTTCCTCTGTTGTCTATTTCGTTACTGATATGTCTGCCGCCACACCCACTGTTGACGGCCTTGCAGTACAGGACTTGACTAACCTGGATGTCACCAAACTCACACCTCTATCTCCGGAGGTTATCTCACGTCAAGCTACTATCAACGTTGGTAAGTACCTTCGCAACTGCTACTGATCTCAGGGCTTTCATCGGGGGTTTAGGTACCATTGGTCATG